ACCCAGGTGGAATCCTAACAGAAATATATTGCTGGTTTTTATTATTTTTATTTATTTTGTTTTTTAGAGGGGAGGTTAGTTGAGCTGTGTGTGGTCGCCTGCAGAGAACGTCTTTCTGCGTTTGTGTTACAGTAAATCACCTTTGCATGTGAGCAAAACTGTGTATGAAGAAGGGTTGTAAATGTGAGTTTCATCTAACAAACAGCCCCTTGGCAAGAAAGAAGCTTTGACTAATGTTGATGGCTGCATGTCAGCTTACAAATTACACACAAACCTGGAAACTTGCGCGCTCACATTTTTATGGTGTACTCTCAAAAGTGTAATAAATCAAAGTGGTTACATGCCAGAGTGTCGGATACTCGCTGACAAATCTCATGAGATCAACAAGACTTAAACACCATATCTACCCAGCAACACATGTACAAGCCCCCAAACCTTTTGTCTGTTTCATTCACACTAATTCTGATGAAAAAGATGTGAAATAAGGAAAAAAATATATATATATAATAAGATCAATCGGATTCTGTTGAGCATAAATTTGGACGAGGAACAAACAAGAGAAAAGACGGCAAAGTTTTTTTTTTTTTGCAAAGGTCCATAAGCATGAAGTAATAAGAGAAGAACAAAATCGCTCTCGGCACTGAAACTGGTCATGCGTGCACACACTCACACACACACTCTCACACTGAATCATAGTCACGCAGACTCCTTTGCCTTTCAGTGGCGGCGTCTGCAAATGGGGCGACATGAAAAGAATGCTCTGAAAAACAGTTTGCTTATGTGCATTCAGGGTCAGTATGTCACAGAGGTGAACCCAAAACCAAAAAAGTTCAACCTAAAATATCTGTGACATGACTTTTTATTCCACAAAAAATGTATTTATTAATGAAAAATGGATCACATAGACAAAAAGGAGACTCCAGTGTTAATTGGATCACAAATTAAGAGATGTAGAGTGTTTTGGTGCTTAGTGACTGAGTCTGTTCTGTCTGTTCTGCTTCAAAAGCAGGAAGTGGACTACAGCGCAGGGCATTCTGTGTAAATACAACCAAACTATAAACGCTCATTTCTCATACCTTATAGCGAGTTTTTGTGTCGTTTCCTTCAGTAGTTCTTGTTGCAGCGCCACCATTGGCGATGGAGGGAATAGGTTGGCTCGACTGACTCAGTGCAGTGTGAATGTGAACCGCACCAGCTGAAAATGTAAACAAACGTTCTGAATTTTAGTCCCCAATCGAATCAGTCTACCGGACTATCAGGTGTGAAAACGACCTTGGAGAGAGCCTGACCTGTGGATAGCCAGCACAAAACCACACAATGGTCCCAATTGATTCTAAATCCGGATTTAAAAAAAAGTCCTGGTGAGCTTCGGAGAAGACGTCAGACCTCCATGCAACGTCTCCCTGCTCAAGAGGCCTCACGGTCTGGCAAGCAGCACTCAGATTAACCAGTGAGGCTGGAAGTCCGGTCCTGGTCCAATTCCTGGTTGGTTCTGTACGGCTCTCTGTATCCACTGAGTGCCAAAGTCACTTTGAATAAGGACTGAACTTTTTCAGATCAAATCAAAACGTTCTCTCCATTTCAGCAGAAAGCAACTTTGGCTTCTGGATACTGTTGACTTTTGTGTAATATAGTCCTTTTGACTGGCGATACAGTATAGGCTTATTGAGAGAAAACTAAAAAATGGTGGCACCTTTGAAAGTATTTTTTTTGTTAACGTTTTACTGTATGCCATACATAAATATTACAGAATTGCGCCGCTCAAGGTGGCAGCATGTTGGAGTAGCTCGCTTACATTCATTCTGAGATTTTGCTTTTGGAAACTTTAGTTACTTTTTTTTCTGGATGTAAATCAATTTTTTTCTGATGGTTACTTCCTCTTGTATTAGATGCTGTGCTGCTTGAAGGATTTTTACTTACTTTTTTACTTTTGGGCATTTGTTATGATGCGTAACCATAACAGCAAGGTGGTTTTCTACTACTGGGAGCTGCTGATTAACATCTCAAAAGCTCAAATAATACCTCAACTACAACCCCAAATCACAAAGGAGTTGAAAAGGAGGTGCCGTGGATGCATTCCCGTCTACCTGGAGGTGGTGCTCGAGTGCCTTATCGCCGAGATCTTGGAGGTGGCGGGAAACGCTGCTTGTGACAGTGGGAGGACCAAGATCGTCCCCCGACACGACAGTTAAGTCCGCTGTGGGATGGACTGCTACGAGAGATCCTTCCTGCCCAAAGTCATCAGCATGTATAACAACTCTAATGAAACCAAGATGAGCTACAACAACAATTAATTTCCCTTTGGGATTAATCAAGTATTTTTGAATTGAATTGAATACTGTCCCAATCACGTGAGTAATATTGATGTTGACAATCGTGTGTCATGTACAATCTGGTTTTATTTTTGTCGTCTACAATCTTACTTTGAAAAACCGCGAAAGAGCGAGTCCGCAAAAGTTGAACCGCAAAGTAGCCAGGGACTTTTGTAATGTGTTGAAAATCCAGAGTAAAGCTGAAATGTGTTCTCTAGAGAAAATATGGAGGAGGAAAGATAGTGAGATGACAGCAGAATCATTATTTCCAGATGCAATTATGTTCATTATGCACAGACAGTAGAGATGTCCAAAAACAAATAATTAAATGAACATGTTTGTCAGTCTCATAGTGTAAAACTCTAGTTTCCGTGGACATTTCCAAATCGCCTTATTTAATTAACTCTTCAGCTTTGAAGCAGTACATTTATGTTTTGCTTTTTGTGACTGAGCCTGCCAAGTGTCTTAAAATATAAAGTCAGTGTGCGTAAGAAGGAAAAATGAGTTTATGCTTTTTGGGGCTGAACCATGAAAACACAAGCTTTAAAGAAGTTTGTGCACATGTTGTTACAAACACACACAACAGAATCCACTAAATCCACTTTACATGTGGCTGTTGTGAAGAGTTCACATTTCTCTTCATTTGTGGAAACATGTAAGCGCAACAGCAGACACCCACACAGACGGGAGAGAAATGGGTTACAATAAGAGGCTTAGATAGTGTGTATGTGTGTGTGTGTGTGTGTGTGTGTGTGGGGGGGGGGGGGGGGGGTTGAAAGTGTTTGGTTACACATGGCTGACTGAGCGGGAATAATGGTCCAATTGGTGCAACTGCATTCACTCCATAATGTGTGTGAATATGAATAATCTTTGGGGGTATTACAGTTGGGTGAGTGCATGTATCATTTTTAAAAACTCCCCCCAACTGATAGAATATGTCTATAATACTGTCAGCAGACTCCATGTCTTCTTGCCGTATTTTTTATTCAAAGATAAAAGTAGTGCTGTGAGGCTGCTCCTGTATTTTGTCCTAAAGCTGCTGGAAGCAGCTCTGTAAGCAGAGTTTAGACACACAAGCTTAGTTGAATTTATTTATTTATTTATTCTTGGCCATTCTGGAGTCTCAGATTTCAAGTTTGCTTCTTTTAATGACTTTTTGTCTTCCTGTCTGTACAGAGAAAGCGCTTCAGAGTCCCGGTGTTCAAACTGCACCATGTACTGTCAGAATAAAATGAATGAATTTGCCTCAGCTCAACTTTTTAAAATTTTTTTTTTAAATGACACCACTTAAGAAACATGATCCAGATGATTACCATTAACATAAAATTCATAGCTTCCTATAATGTTCTCTAGATCACATGACCAGAACTTAAAGTACTTCATGTTTAGAAACAACTGTATTGTGTAAATAAAACTAATATACTAGACCTGGGACTTGTTAAATGTAAATTGATTTGATATATTTATCTGTTTTTAAGATTTTACATTTGTTTCATGGTCACAGTTCTCCAATTGTCACACACCTGTCAGCCATCAGTAATCATTTAAGTTGTACCTATTTATTAACCCCCCCCCCCCCCCCCCCCCCCATTATTTATGTATACACTGTTTGTCTCATGCTCACCATCAGATCCTCACTCTACTGTTTAGCCTTAACTTTTTATTACCTGTACTTCTGGTTTTATTTACATTAATAAATAATCCAACAATGCTCAGTCAGGTCATTTGGATGTTTTTTTTTTTTTTCTTTTGATATGCTTTGTCCTTCATCCAAAAGACTTCATCAGTCCGAGGACCCACAAACAAACTCAGTCCCACATGCAGCACCCTCCCTTAGTGGACCAACCAGTTTGCTGGTGATAAAATGGTTTTTGGGGCCCGCCCTCTCCCCCGTCAACTCCTCTGAGGCAGCCATTGGATAGTCATC